ACTGCCAACATCTTATCTGGCACCTCTTACTTAGGCACAGTTTCTACTGTGATAGTAGAAACCACCTCCTCTGCAGAGCTCTGATGTTTTCTACTTAAATAGCCTGCTGATCTCACCTCTGCTCCTATCTGACTGGGCAGATATCCCTAATGTAGCCAAATTATCTTGCCACCCCATTTCTGCAATCCCTGCCACCCCCTCTGTATTTTTCTGCACGTGCACCCCGTCCACAACAGGTCCTTACTTCTGGCGAGGATCGTTGCCAAGGAGTACGGACTGGCATATGCTGATGCTCAGGGTCTTCTGAGGTCACTCTTTCTGTTGTCATCATCCTGATATCATTCAGCTGTCATCCAGTGGCATTAACTACTGTTAACATAACTCTTTCTGTCTCCAGCCTCTGCTTGGGTAGTGACCTCGCAGAGTGGCTTTAGACTCCCATACACAGCATAGGCTTCCCCTAAACGCAGACCACTGCACCATCTATATACCAACTATATTATTAGTTAATAAATCATGGTTCATTGATAGAATATTTTTCAACCAATAAAAATGACATGAAAAAAAAAGATGAAATAACAAGAATAATACCCACAACGTATCGTTAAGAAAAAAGTAAATTACAAAATAGGTTTTCTTTAGGGAAGAATGCCCATCAATGGTTGCCAAACGGGAGCAGGGATGAAGGGCTGGGTGAAAAGGGGGAAGTTATTAAGAAGTACAGATTGGTAGTTACAAAATCATGGGAATGTAAAGTACGGCATAGGGAATATAGTCATTAATATTGTAATAACTATGTATGGTGTCAGATAGGTACTAGATTTATCAAGGTGATCATTTCATAAGTTATATAAATGTCTAATCACAATGTTGTACACCTGAAATTAATATATTGTTTTTCCACTGTAATTAAAAAATAAAAAATTATTTTTAAAAAAGATGCTATCAGTTTTAAATCTCTAGTGTGTAGGAATATGGTTGATTTCCATTTTTTTTCTTTTTTGCTTATGTCTATTTGAAAACCTTTTTAAATGAATATGTACTATTTTGGGGAAAAAAAACAGAAAACATTAGAAATAAAACAATTCAAAATGGAAATGTTAAAAAAAGTTATGTTTTTTTGTATGTCTTGGGCTACAAACCTACGTGTATGTACCCTACCAGTATGGGCCTGCTCTACCTGCAAAGCTGTATTGTATTGTATTATATAGTGTTGTGTTGTGTTGTATTGTGTTGTGTTGTATTATAATATGTTGTGTTGTGTTTATTGTGTTGTTGTCTTAAATCCCATAGCAGCAGCAGTCACAAGATTTTGGATGGAGGCACACTTTGTATCTCGATGGTGCAGTGTCATAATTCCCAGGCAGCCAGAGGTGGGAGAGGTTGAGAACTGGCCACCTGAGTTATAGTACTGCCTTAGAAATGGGTATAGCCTATGACTCTAAATGAGGTCTTAGATGAATGGTTTTCAGACATTTGCAGAACCTTTTTTTTTTTCCAAATGAAATCTTACATAAAATATCAACTCCTAAACAAAAGTTGATCTGGTTCCAGTGGGAACCTAGGCATCCTAGTTTTTAGAGTAGTTCTTGCAGTAGCTTTGTAGGTTTCCAAATTGATAATTTGAAAATATGTAGTAATTGGTGTTAAGAAGGCAACTTCCATTCCAGGAATAGGTTTGTCAGTTCAGGGTGTGAAATTCAACTGAAGTTATTTTTACTACCAAAACCACACCCATTTATTACATGTACACCAAACACCTTAGATAAAATGAAGATTTCCTTTATCTGTAGCCCCAAAGCCCTAACTATTATACTCTGTGATACCACTTATAACATGGTGTCTGAGCAGGGCTCATGCTATTCCAATGGATCCTGCAGGCAGGACTGAAAATTTGGATTCTCATTGAACTTCTTTATGTGTGTTTGCATTCCCTAGTTTATATGAGGGTTAAGGAATCTAAGTGGGAGCTGGGAAGGAAATCTAACGGTGACTAGGATTTGGGATTCAGACAATATAGGTAAGCCTGATGCAAAAAGAAATTATGAGACCCCATGGGAGAAAAGCTACCTCAAAAGAAGCCACAATATCTAGTGACAGGAGGGAAAATGGTGGTTTCCAGGGGAGGAGAATGGCCATTACTTGAAATCATTAAAGCTCAGCCAATCTGTTGGCACATATGCATTCTGGGTATAAAAAGCTATGTTTCCTAATGGAAATAGCTATTCCATTACTCTATTCGGGGGTCTCTCCAGAAAAACAGAACTTGGTGGAAGGAAGTCAGTGTTCCAACTGGCAGAGGAAGGTAATCAAGTGTAAAGTACCAGCAAAACATCAAGCAACAGCCCACAGGCAAATAACAGCAGTCCTGAGAGTGTTTAGAGCAGAGTCTAGCAAGAGTGGTAGGAAAATAGCACATTAAATTGTTTCTGCAAGAGAATGAGGACCGAGAGGAAAGCAGGAGCACTGGGAGAGTCAACAGTCTGGACAACAAATGAGACCAACAGGAGAGAGAACAATGTGGGAGAAGAGAGATGGAGGTCTTGTCATTAACAGGTTCCGAGTAAAAGAGCAAAATTCCGATGGAAATGTTAAGGTACACTCGTTTGTACACACTTAGTAGCAAGAGCTGGGGACATCCAGTCTGTGTATTGTGTTCTCGTTATTTGTTCACATGACTGGGGTTTGACATTACAGTGAGTCCTCACTCAGCATCATTGTTCTGTGACTTTAAGTGAAACAACACGTAACAAAACTATTCTTACAATGTTGAATGATACGATGTTATTTGAGGGCATGCTGTATTAGGTACTAGGTACATTTGTGGCATTGTCATGCTTCAGCGATCTATGAACCTGAAACCATTCCCATGTGAGGCTCAGGCTGTGAGCAGCGATGCACTAAGACGTTATAGCACAGTAATCACCTGATACTCAGGTATTTCAACTGGTACTAGGAAGTCAGCAGCAAGGATTCCCTTGTTCAGTGAATACTGCTTTTAAAATAAGCATATTCCATCTATAGAATAACTTATTTAAAAATTTAGAAAAGGAAGAGCTACACAAAGATCAAATGCTGGTAGCCTGGAATTGAGATGGTTAGGATAGTGCAAGGGCGTCCAGAAATTCAAGCATTGTGGATTACCTTAGTTTGACCTAGTAAGTCAAAACTGCTACAAGCCAACAGACATGTATGCATTTCAAACTACCTGGAGAAAGCAGAGAAGAGAATATATTCCCTTTTCCAACATTTTCTACAAGGAGCCAAATTATTCAAACCTTGTCTGTCATCCGCCCTTCCCTACCGCTTTGATTCTGAAGTACCACATGCAGCGAAACCATACTTACCGCATCCTGATGTTCAGATTTGTGAATTACAATTTATATGCTTATGAATTTATGCACTGATGTAAGTTCCAGAGGATGAGAATTCCTCATGGACTCAAAATTCACATGACTTATTTTATTAGTATGCGTGTTGAAAAATAAGTATTGAAGACTGAGTTAAAAGTTTACGTAAAAGTTAAATGTACATATCATTTTTACAAAGGTATTTCGAGTGAATTCTAGTTTTTTAGAGTGTGATTTTTTAAACCAGACATTAACCCTCCTAAGTCTGAACAGAGAGGAGTTCCAGAAGGAGGCTCTTCAACTAAGAAGAAGCTGTTGTACAAGATGTCCTAGAGTCTTCTCCTCAAGACTCACTTCTTCTTTGAGGTTCTCTTATTTCGATTCGCCGTGTCATCATCACTTCTGGATACGGGGAAAATTCCCCATTTGAAAATCCAACTCATCATTAAAATAAAAAATGTCAATAAGTTATGCCCCAAAATATACATCTGTATTTTTTAAAAGACAACTTTCACTAAAAACTTGGACAGAAAAGTTCATTCACATGAGAAACACAGAATCATTAAAAATAGTTCAATTTCAACATAGGTTTACATGTTAAGGAGTCTAGAGAAGTAGCAAAGGGGTTGGCGATTCCCAAATCTCATTTTCAGACAAATACACTGGACTCTGGAAGGCAGATGTTACTTGGGAATGCCTTTTCCTCAATCGATAGCCACTGGCTTCCATCTTTATGTACTTTGCCACCAATGTTATATTAAACATAACAGTTCATCACCTTCCAGATTTCCAGGTGGCCTCCAGTTTAGTTTTACTGCCCAATTTAAGGAGCAAGAGTGACTGGAAGGGTGTTAGCTCATAACTCATAAGATGGTTCTGTGGTCTTTTCCTTCCTGGCTGTAGCAGTCATGCTTCTTACTCCAAAGCATTCTCCTATGATTCACTCAGTCTACCCCATCCAGCCCATGAGGAAGTGATTAGACGAAAACCACCCAATTTAAATACAAAATCTTAGCTATGCAATAACTGCAGTGTATAAACATTGTGATTTAAACACGGATACCATCACATGAAATTAAGTGAGAGTTGAAGAAATTTAGGACCGAACAAAATATTTGATTAATAAAATACCTAAAAATAAAAAATAAGCCAAACTTTATTTAGTTTTAATTGATCCTTAGAGGAATGTGACATATATTGGTTTTATTACTGTGGTCTTTAGCTTTTAACAATCCACCATTAAGAACAATTCTCTATGACACAATTTCAGCATCAAAGGTAGCTAAACTAAACTCTTTAAATATTCAGCTAAACGTAAGGTTTTAAGAGAGTTCCCCAAAATATAACTCTATAATAATTTATTTAGATAATTTTCTTACTAAAGTAAACATTAAATTTTTGGTATTAAGTATTTGGTAAATTGTATTCATGTATCAGTACTATCAAAATGCAAATAAGAAATAAGAATAACGTCTAGCTATGAAAATAAGTTTTAAAATAATTATATGTAGATATCTTCACTTGTAATCTTCTATCTGTAATGTTAACTCTAAGAAAAGTTACCATTAAGCATGTCAATAGATAACAGAGTGCAGAAAGGTGAATAATATGTCAAACTTTTAAAAAATGTATATTTAAAAGAATACTTACTCATTTGCTTCCCTCTAAGAGAATATATCCTGAGTTTTTCAATAATATCAACCACGATCAAGGAAGTCAGAACCAGAGAGACTGGCAGGTCAGGTAAGGTGTCAGGTAAGACATCTGTGGAACCGTTAACATTCTTTTGAATCTGTTTTCAGAAAACCATTTACAAGCATTAAATTTTTGTGCTTTCGTAGTTCATAATTCTTTTAATTACCTGAAAGCAGTGCTAAATTAATGATAAATATATTTACTAAAAGACTAGAAATTTGGTTTTCAGCTTCTCATGTATTTGACCCCACAAATTTTGAACCATTTCTAAAGATGTAATGAGGATTCATATCACTGGAAGAGCTTGCAGTTCAAGACAGAGCTTAGTAAATGCATGTGAAAATATAACAGCAGGCCCCTGGTAGTGGTGGAATAGGCAATTCCTTCCAACCCTGCTTCTAAGCAGAGCCTGAAAGTCCTAATTCGAGGAGCTACAGGGACAGTTATTACAGTTTAGGGTCTTCCAAGAAGGGAGAAACTAGGCAAACCCAGCTCGGCTTTGAGGCACTTCCTTCCTGTAGATACCTTTTGTAGGTACCTAGAAAAAAACCTATGGCAAATATCATATTAATGGTGATATGTTGAGAGTTTTCCCTATGAGGTCAGGAACAAGACAAAGGTTTACCTTGACCATTTCTATTCAACACTGCACTAGAGGTCCTAGCCAGTGTAATAAAGCAAGAGAAAGAAATAAACAGTATAAGCATTGGTAAGAAAGAAAAACGAAGTTTTCTTTATCATTATTCATAGACTATATGATTGCATATGAAGAAAATCCTCGAGATGGATAAATTATTTCTGCATGCCAATAACAAAGAGAAAGTGAGATTTAAGAGTGATACCATCCAATGCAACCTCCATCAAAATTCCAAGTTTTTGTGGAAAATTACAAGCTGACTCTAAAATTTATATGAAAATACAAAGAGCAAGACACTAGAAGAAAAAGTAAAAGATATGAAGATTTACTCTTCTGGATATAAAGAGCTATTGTAAAGCTATGAGAATTAAGATAGTGTGGTGTTGGCACAGAAATAGAAAAGTAGGTAATGGGACAGAACAGAAAACTCAGACATAAACCAGGTATATATATACATGATTTATAATAAAGGTAGCACTGCAGAGGAATGTAGGAAAACAGATTTTTTTATAAATGGTGCTCAGTCCAAAATAAATAGTGCTCTTCCCAAATAATAAATTAATGTTACTTGGAAAAAATAAGTGGAACATGCCATCCTACTGTTCAACAAGTACAAAAATTAGCTCCAGATGGATAGTGAATCTAAAGAGAATGGTAAAACAATATAGGACCCAAAATGTAATATAGGACAATATCTTCAGGACTTGAGATTATGACAAAATCTTCTCAAACAAGTTACCCAAAACACTATTCATAAAGGAAAGAAATCAATAAATTGGACTATTTTTCAATTAAGAGCTGCTCTTCATCAAAAGATACCACTAAGAGTATTGTCACAGAATATAAAGATATTCGCAATACATATAATCAACAAAGGGCTTAAAATCTGAATATATAAACAATCCTTCCAAATCGATTTTTAAAATATAAGCAACACAATAGAAAAAGAATGGTCTAGAAAAAGTGCTCAATTTCATTCATTATTGGGAAAATGCAACTAAAAACTACAAGGAGATTCAAGAATATGCCCATCGGAATGGCTAAAATAAAAAGACTTACAAGTAATTATTACTAAAGATGGAGAGCAACAGAATGCTCATTCTCTGCTATTAGAAGTCTAAACTGGTATAAGCTCTTTGGAAAACTGGCAACATGTTACATTTGAACATTTGAACATCTTCTGACCCATCAATTCTACTCCTACATATTTAACCAACTGAAATGCTTGCACATGTGCACCACAAGACAAACGCAAGGATATTCAAAGCAACAGTATTAATAATAGCCCAAACTGGAAACAACTGAATGGCCATCAAATGTAGGATTGATAAATGAATTGTGCTATGTTCATAAAATGACTATACCGGAATGAAAATGAATGGGCCACAGTAACACACAAAAACATGAATGAACCACACTTTTGAATAAAGAAGCCAAATACTAATTAGATATGATAGATGATTGATAGATAGATGAGAGATAGATGGATGGATGGATGGATGGATGGATGGATGGATGGATGATGGATAGAGAGATAATAATTTGATTTCCTTTTATAAAAGGTTCAAAAACAGACAAAGTAATCTGTGATATTAGAAGTTAAAGTAGAGCACCTCTGGGGAGGAGGAAAAGATAGTTACTGAAAGAAACATGGGATGGCTTTTAGACAGCTGGCAGTTTTATTTTTTGACCTTAGTGTTTACACAGACATGTGCTTTGTGGTGTCCCATTAATATTATATATTTATGACTTGTGCACCTTTCTGTTTGTGTGTTACACCTCAGTGAGGAATTACCCCAGTACTCGCCTCTCTCACAACACTTATTATACTAATTCTCACTGCCTATTTACTCTTCACTTTACTTTCAGGAAATAATTACTAAAGACCAGAGACTGTGAAATTTCCTGTGTGCTCTATCGCCAGTACCTAACACAGTGCCTGGCATATAATATGTACTTAATGATATCGGCTTAACATCTGAATGAAACATCATAAAGTAATTTAAATTTTCATTTGGGGGAAGTGAAAATTATATCTTTCACAGCACCTTACAAATAAATAAGATTAGTAGGGCATATTTTGAATTTCTTGGATAATAAATTCTTATAGACGGAAAGGTCTGTTTGCTTATGAATTTCTGTCCTGCAGACACCTGTCCATTAGAGTTCTTTTGAAGCTGTGCTTAGTCAAAACATAAAATTGTTTTCAAATAAGTATCACGTGCAAAGTATTTGTCAATGGATAGATTGTCAGGGTTTTAGAGCGTGAGTGGTTATTCACCAGAATATTGTTTCATTCCATTTAGAACTGAGGACAATCATGAAAAACATCAGGGTGGAAGAAACAAATGTGGATCTACTTTCAAATTCCTTACTTTTAAAAAATTATTTTGAAATAACATTCCTGTCTTTTGCACACAAATACAAAAGTAATTTTTCCCTCCTCGGCTGTTAGACCTTCCTCCAAACCCTCAGAGGTAACAATGATCTTAGTACTTTAATTGTAATTTGGAAGAAGATGGGATAGAATAGACTTTAAGAAATCAAAATTCCATACCTCAGTCACTGCTATAGAAAAGCTGAAGCTGGGGAGTGTGGTGAGTACTACACACATCATCATAATAGGTCTCCTAGCAAAGGAGAAAAAAATAAGCAAAAGCAATAATGTACAAGATCAACAGTTCCTGTTACTTTTTGCTAACTTTGCAGTTCTTGTGCCATTCATCTATCATTTTTCTTAGAAGCTACTACTTCCCTATTTTCATTTCCCAAATGCTTGAGTATGGCAAAGGGAAACACACGCAAAAAAAACCCAAAAACCAAAAAAAAACCAGAATGCTTTTCTAGAACAAAGGGGTGAGAGATTTCCAAATAAATAACACATCATAGATAACTGAAAGTATCACAGTGCAAGACACATGACATGCAACATTTTCATATTTCATTCATTGGAATCCTGGCCCAGGGCTCAAGCTCTGGTGATCAACGGGAAAAAAGAATAGCGTGGCTTCCTTAAGTTATAATATACTCCATGTTGTAACATTGATTTTTCAAAAATTACATTTAGAGATGATATGTAGATACTTAAGGATGTTTTAAATTGAAAACATTTGGATATTTTTTACTTGAACCAAAAAAAAAATCATATATACATAAAAATCACATAATCTTTAAACTTGTGTTTGGACCACTTCTTAAACCTTACAAGATCAATCAATAGTTACTGAGATATCACATGTATTTAATATTCTATATTATAACAGAGAAAATTTAAATATATGCTTAGCATCATTAATTTATGGGAAGACAAAATAAATATACTTAAAGCTTTTCTATAATGAAATACTTACCCCTTCTTCCCTTAATATATATTATAGTCCTCACATTTATAGGATGGTATGTGTCTAAGCACAGAAAGCACTGGAGTGTTTCAAATGACTAAAAATTGCTCCTTGGTCTTGATAGGCATCCCTCTATTCCAGCCCCATCTCAGGTATTCTAGGTATAGATATAAGTTATGGGGTGGGATAGCCCGTCTCTCACAACCAGACCGGTATGACCTGTTAAAACCAGAGGTATGATGGGATTTTAAATTGTTAGCTTTGCCTCCTTTTCTGAGCCCAGATCCAGGGTCCTGCAGCACTCAGCTCTCTGAGGCTGGCTAGAGCGTTCAGAGTCCTCTTCTCAGCTTGACCTCTAAAAGATGGAGCGTGCTCCAGGAACTACTACTGTACCTCTTCTCTGTCTATGTTATCTTCCTTGATTATCTCAGCCTATCCTATGGCTTGAAATACTCTCCACTTGCCCATGGCTCCCAAACATATTATAATATACATATACTGGCCTCCATCCTGAGCCCTGATTTTGTACACGCAACTGTCTACTTGGCCCCTCCACATGGATGTCTAATAGGCAACTCAAACTTAACATGGCTGAAGGAGAATCCACATCCTTCTCCATACTGTTCTGATCATCATCAAATCCTGCCTGATTTACTGCCAAAATACATTTCAAATCCATCCTCTGCTAATATCGTGGTTCACCTACTATCATCTGTTGTCTACAGTATTTTCTAACCAGTTTCCTGTTAGTGCCTCTGTTCCTACCTAGCAAAATTTTCTCCATAGATTCAACAGTCATATTTTTAACATGTAAAACACATCACTGTTTTGATCAAAAATTCTGAATGCTGGAGTATGGGAGGAATGGGGGTTACTGCTTAATGAGCACAATTTCAGTTTTGCAAGATGAAAAGAATTCTGTAGACAGATGATGGTGATAGTAGCACAGTGACCAATTAGAATAAAATTGAAACCTATTACCCTAGCTACACTGCTCTCCATGATGTGCTTTCTCTTATTTCTCCTCTGCTGCTCCTCACTTAGAATGACCTAAATCTTCAACACCTACTTAACTCTGGTCATATTGGCCCCACTTCCAAGTCATATGCTGGCTATTGCTTTTGCCAGGGGCCTCTACTCCTGTATCTTCTATGTCTGGCTCCCTGTTGGCATCAAAAATATATATACGGGACTACCTGAAATTCTGCTGATCCTTTCTTTATTTGCTCATTGTTTGTCACATCCCTCTTTGCCCATACCCAAAGTAAGTTCAATGGGAACAGAGGCCTCATCTAAATTGTTCAATACTCTATCTCCACCATCTAGAACAATGTTTTTCAAAGTTTTTTGAGCAATGAAACTTCTTGTAAACCCCATGGGCACTTTTCAGAACAGAAATTTTTAATGCATAAAATAAAATATATAGACTTACAAAACAAAGCAATTATGTTAAAAAAGTTATCCAAAATCTTAAAAATTTTTGATCTTTTAATAAATATGCCTATCTATGAACACAATGTCTTCTTATTTTCCTTGGAGTACTCAAGATCTAGCAGAAACTATAATCACTCATAATTTCAAGGTAGTGAAGATCATAAAGCATATTCTGAAGTATCTGCAATAATTATATGGTGATATGGAAAAATCTATAAAGTTACAGGTCTTGATAATACTACTATGGTTTGTTACCAACAATCACAATGAAAGGAAATGCTAGTTTTCAATTCGAGTTTAGTGAAAATAAAAATGTAACTTGTTTCTCATCCAAGTTCAAGAACCTCATGATGCCAGAGAACGTCTGGCAGATAGCAGAAATTCAATAAACACTAAATGAGCAGATAGAATAGTTAATAACTAAATATCAATCCAAGTCTCTGTTTTATTTAATCAGAAATAATGAAAACCTATATTTGGAAATCTTGACTTACTGCTAGCACATGTTTATAATTCATTAATGAGTGTTATGGGTTGAATTATGTTCCCCAAAAAGATATGTTGGAAATCCAAACCCTTAAGACTTCATAACTTAATTTGGAAACAGAGTCTTTATAGAGGTAATAAGTTAAAATAAGATAATTAGGGTGGGCCCTAATCTAATTTGACTGGTGTCCTTATAAAAAGGGAAAATTTATAGAAAGATATATGCAGAGGGAAGATTATGTGAAGAAACACAGAAAGACGCCATGTGAAGATGAAGGTAGAGATCAATCAGGGTGATATATCTACAAGCCAGGGAATGCTGAAGAGTGCAGAAAAGACTCTAGGAGAGAGGTCTGGAACGGACTCTCCCTGACAGCCCTCAGAAGGAATCAACACCTTGATTTCAGACTTCTAGCCTGAACAACTTGTTTCTTAAGCCACTTAGTTAGAAGTACTTTGTTATGTCTGCCCTGGGAAACTAATACAGAGTATGCTCTAGGAAAGAGGGGGTTCTGCTGTAACAAATACCTAAGAATGTGGAAGTGGGTTTGGAATTGGGTAATGGGTAGAGTCTGGAAGAGGGGGAAGATGTGCGATAGCCAAAGACTAGATTGCCTACAAGAGACCATTAGTGGAAATATGGACATTAAAAGAAATCCTGGTGAGACCTCAGAAAGCAAAGAGGAGGGCTGTAGAGAAACACGTCTCTCTCTCCCTAGAGAATACATGTATTGTCAAGAGCAGAATATTGATACAGAATGTCAAAGGTGCTCCTAGTGAGGTGTCATACAGAAATAAAAACAGTGTTATTGGAAACTGGGGAAAAGGTGATCCTTTTCATAAAGGTGCCGAGAACTTGGCTGAATTGTGTTCTTCTGTGGGGTAGAAAGTAGAACTTATAAGTGATCAACTCAGATATTTAGCTGAGGAGATTCCTAAGCAAAGCATTGAAGGCATGGCCTGGTTTCTCCTTGCTGATTATCAAAATGGGATAGGAGAGAGAGAAATTAAAGGGAGGATAATTAAGCAAAAAGGAGGCAGAACTTGAAGATTTGGAAAAATTTCAGCCTATCCATATTGCAAAACATGAGAGCATGTTCTGGAAGAAACACTATGGAGGCAGCCTGTGAATCCAGCAGAAACATCAACAGCTTGCATTGAAGAGGGTCAGAGATGGGGCACAATTAAGGAAGACTGTCAGACTTCTGGGATTCAATAAGCAGGAAATGGCTGAAAGAACTATTTGGCTGCAAATATATCATATCCGTCTAGAAACAGGAAGAATGACTATGATGGTACTTCAGAGGCCAGGGAGGTTCCACGGCCACTGCAGGCCCAGAGGTTCCCTCCTCAGAGCGAGAGGCCAAGGCTGCTGCTCACGGTTAAGGGGGTGAAGCTCCATCCTGATAAACCTGAGGATAAAGTATCTAGCCACAGTGGATGCACAAGTCTTCAAATTTAATGAAATTTGCCCTGCTGCCTTTCAGATTTGCTTAGGACCCATGATTCCTTTTTTCTTCCCATATCTCCGTTTTGGAATGGGAATGTCTATCCTATGCCAGCCCCACATTGTACTGGGGAAGCACACAACTTGTTGCCTGGTTCCACAGGTTTGCAGATGGAGAGGAATTTTTGCCCCAAGATAACTCCTATCCAGAGTCTCACTCCTAACTGATCTAGATGGTTTAGATGATGAATTTTGGGACTCTGAGTTCATGAAGTTTAGATGAGATTTTGGACTTAAGAGCTGATGCTGGAATGATTAAAACTTTGGAGATATTAGGATGGAGTGAAACTATTTTGCAGAGGGGCGGGGGGCAGAGGGAAGGCAGTTATGGCTTGAATTTTGTCTCCAAAAACAGACATATTGAAGTCCCAACCCTAAGTACCTCAGAATGTGACTGTATTTGGAAATAGTGTCATTTCAGAGGTAATAAGTTAAATGAGGGCCTAGGGTGGGCCCTAATCCAACATGACTGGTTTCCTTATAAAAAGGAAACATTTGGAGATTGATGTGCAAAAAGAAAGACTATGTGAGGAGACTCATAGAAAGTGAAATGTGTAGATGAAGGCAGAGATCAGGGTGATGCAGCTACAAGCCAAGGAATGCCAAAGGATGCCATCAAGACAATAGAATCCAGGAGGGAGGCCTGGAACAGAAGGGACCAGCTCCAAATACACTTGGATGTCAGATGTCCAGCCTCCAGAACTGGGAGAAAATAAATTTCTGTTGTTTAAGCCACCAAGTCTGTGGTACTTTGTAACAGCAGTCCTAGGAAACTAATCCGATGAGTAATGGAATTTATGTTAGAAATATCATAGACACTTCTTTGGAGGTGTACTCAAGCTAAAACCAATGCAGGGCTGAA